AAAAACCTTCACTACATATTACATCTTTATTACAGCCATCTCACATTAGACTGTAGTCCTTTATTTACATACCATATCACTGATACAAAGGACAAAGGTACCTAGCACAATATTTGGCCCATAAAATCACTTAATAAATGTTGAATGAATGACTACACTGTGTCATTATGTATTAAAAACCACCTCCAGTGCTAGGCAAGCCAGATGTTATAATACACAGTTTTTAGTTTTTTTAAAAAAATGTTAAGATCTTTCCTCCCCTTTGCAGAGGTGCTGATGTGCCCCACAACCAGAGGAGGAATAGATGGTAAGGGGAGATTCTGCCTGAGGGCCAGGATGTGGGGTGGAGGAGAGCAGGCACTTGGGAGGTTGGTGCCCTATTGAGGATAAAGGGTGTTAGATGTTAGGTTCCAAACATGGGTTTTGGAAGGCTAGAATGTTTGTAGCAGCAGTATTCACCACAGCCAAAAACAGAAACAACATCATCAACAGATTGTGGCACATACATACAAAAGGAGTATTATTCAGCTCTAAAAAGATATTAAGTCATGATACATGCTACAACATGGATGAACCTTGGAATAAGTCAATGAAATAAGTGAGACAAAAGATCACAGTTTGTGTGATCCCATTTATAAGAATGCCCAGAATAGTCCAATTCATAGAGACCAAAATTAGATGAGTGGTTGCCGTCGGCTGAGTGAGGATAGAATAGGGACAATGGGTGTTTCCATTTGGTGAGATGAAAATGTTCTAGAATTAGAAAATGATGATGTGGTAAATATATTAAAAACCACTGAACCTTTACACTTTAAAAGGATGAAATTTATGTTGTGGATTGCATCTCAATTTTAAAGCCAATGAAACAGGCAGCAAAAATTTATTTGGGAAAATATTAAAATCAAGATGAACTAACATGTCTGTGGACACGCGAAGGTAGATTTAAACCCAAGATTCTAGGTTTCCCATAGGTTCAGTGGGATGGCAGATGAGGGGGATGGCTGCCTTATTCTTTTTTGGCCTGTGCTAGTGTGGCTCATGTAACACAAAGCTGGTTTTCTACAAAGCTGTGTTAAAAATTACATTCCCTGTTGGACTAGTATCCAGCAGCTATTCCAACAGCAAACTGGATCTCAGGTGTAAAAGGGGTTGATATCAAATTGCCAGCATTCTCACAGCTGTTTTTCTATCATAAATACAAGGAAACTTCTTGAATGTAGACTCCATGCATATGGCAAGCAGCTGCATAAACACCCATTTGAACCACTGCCTAGCATTCCTGAAGCTGAGCTTAAAACAGGCTTCCAATGGAAGGCTGAAAGACTCCAGGGGGTTGCAACTCCATGTGCAGAATGGGGCACAGAAGGGTGAATCCATTCCACCTGCCTACTTGCTCAGCTGTGTCATAATTTTCACAATGACACTGGGAAGAAATGGTGTTATTCTGGCTTTTTAAAAAACATACAGACTAGTAGTGTTTAGGGAGCTCTGGTGGCATAGTGCCTAAGGCATTTGACTGCTAACCTGAAGGCTGGTAGTTCAAACCCACCAGCCACTCCTCAGAAGAAAGGTTGGGGAATCTACTTCCGTAGTGATACTGTAAATCGAAATTGACTCGACAGCAGTGAGTAGTGTTTATGTTGCAGGGGCTCTGTGGGGTATGAATGTTAGGAGGCCTGAATCATAACTCAGACTGCAAGGATTGGCCCCAGGGTCCCAGCCTTCCGGCCTCCCTGAAAGCCTGAACAAGGCACTTAGTTTCTCTGGGCCTTAGTTTTATTGGTGGCAAAACATGAAATGTCGAAGTATTTTCCAGATTAGGTTTATAATTTTCCCATTAACCTTTTTATGTAACTTTTTCATGGAAACTATTCTATAATATATTGTGCATATCCCTGTCTCATCAGAATGAGCTGACTTTAACTCTCTTGGTGCTTCAGTGTTCAACAGACGTTGAAATGTGCAGATCTTAACCTCAATCCATGTTGCATTCAGTTACATTTTTCTCAACTTTTGTTTTCTCCCTCAAAGCTGTCTACACAGTTCTGTTAAGGAGACCCATCTTTTCTACTTGTAATGATCAGTAAGGTAATCATGAACAGTCTGTCATCTCTATGTTGCCTATTTGGCTGTTCACCAGCCTTTAATTGCTTCCTTTTTATTCTCAACTGTGTTCTGAGCATTTGAGGTTACTAGATGAGTAAATGAAATGGGACAAAAGGAGCAACAGTATAACATAGAAAAGGACACTTAACTTTCCCACAATCCCAAAAGTTCTCCAGAAGCATTCAGTGAATGCCTGGCTTCTTCCCAGTGTGTGCATTACTTTTTTATTTTTAATTTTGAAAACAAAAATAAGGACATTTTTAATTTTTTGTGAAAGCACGTAGTCTGAACCCTCCCTTTGCTCATGAGGAAAAGAGTTGGAAGCTGTGCAACTCTCTCCTTTGTGCTCAGAGGGCTGCATGCGGCCCCACAATCTTCCCCCTCCCCAGAGCCCACAGCTGCAGTGCCTAGACTCCAAGCTGTCTGGGCTGAGCGCCATATGGCCATTGATCGAAGCCTGGACATGCACAGGGCTGGTGCGCCCAACTGCCACGTACACATGCTGTTCCTTCACATGCTTCCTGTTTGTCATTAATTTAGACAGACTTGAGGTTTAAAAATCAACCAGTACTTTCCACTTACAACACTTAAGTATATATTTTCTTGCAAAATTTGTTTTGCTGAATTAGTAGTTCCATTTCTCTCTAAGTACTAGCTCACAGTGTTTGGTTTGGAATGCTTTTATATTTGGATGTGTTTCGTTCCATCACAGTGTTTCTTTTTCTCTCAGTGTAACGGGAGCGCTGACCTCACATGGGGAACACACTAACCGCTGTGTAAGGCTGGTGCTTGACAAACAGCAACATCTTTGTCCGCACTAGACCTCATTTGCCAGGAGCTAAATTTGGTTTAATCCAGCAAGCTTTCTTCCTCTGAATGCCTAGCAGGCTCTGCCGACCCTCACAGTTTAGCCTTGTAACCCCTGCCTGGGGGATCCCAATTAGTTATTAAGCTGGAAATGTTTTTAGATTAAGCTTAAGGATGCTGTACTGTCCTTTGTTACAAACATCAGACCTCTAAGCAAATAGCAATTCAGTAAAAGATGGAGTTCAGAAGCAGAGCTGTGGGGGGCAGCAATGGTTCTGATTCTGGATGAGGTGGGTGTGAGAATGGTTCGGGACCTTGGTTTGACTGAAGCAACCCCTCCAAATTTCTGCCTCTACACCAGTCACTGTAAAAGGAAAATGCATATTTCAGAATCTCTCTGTAGAGACCTTGTAATCCATCCTCAAGAAAGCAAAGAAAAGCATGTTTTCTAAACCAGGAGAAGACAGCCTTCATGTTCTTTTAGTGTGATTGTGCAGTCTCTGTTCCTAGAAGTGTTACCATTGTTATGCTCTAACAGTTGAGGCTAACTTAAGTTGCCAGTTCTGGTAGGCTGTATGTCCCTAGGTCCTGCAGTGAATAATACAAATAACTTATTTCCAAAATGACGTGGAAGAAGGAGGGAGCCCCTACTTTATCATTGCAAGCCTAGGAATTTGTGAAATTCAATTTTATTTTTCGGGTTTTAGAGCAAATACTTTTGAGATCTCCTCCTAAAGTTCCAAAGTATGGGGCTTTCAGACAGTTGCTCCCTGAAATCATATTATCCACAAAAAACAGTTATTGCACCCTCACTGGGAGCCAGGCACTGTGCCACAATGTGCAGATGTGAGCTGACTTCAGGAAGTCCCATTCTATGCCAGGTGCAGCATGCTGGGCAGGAGCCTGTCTGCCTGAGGATCACACATGAGGCATCAGAGTCACCTTTGGAAGGTGGGTAGGCCATAAATGGCATGTAACAGAGAGACAGTGTGAGGATGGGCAGGGCATGAGCATCCACTGTGGCTAGAAGAGCCCAAAGTCCTTATAGAGGCTTCATTTGAAAGGCTTGTGAGGTTAAAGGCATAAATCCTATTTTCAAACGTTCAGTGAGAAAAATAATAACTTGACAGTGGAGACACCTGGAAGCCAGCACCTCAACCAGTGATCAAGGTTATCACCACCAGTGGTGAGTCAAGTTGATACCATATGCTCCAACATGTGAGAAGGCACCTTACCTATCTCTGGCATCTTCCTTCCAACAGCCAATCACCTCAGTCTAATCATGAGAGAACATCAGACACACCCAAACTGAGGGATGTGCTACAAAATACATCCAAGGTGCCTTAAAACTATCAAGGTCATAGAAAACAAGGAGAGATTGAGGAACTCTCAGATTAGAGGTGACTAAGAGATAGCAAATGCAGCATGGGCTCCTGGGCAGGGTCCTGGGACACAGATGGGAATCAAGAGAAATCAGAGTAAAGCCTGGAGCTAAGAGCATGCAGTGGTGCAGGTGTCCTGGTTTGAGAAAGGTGTCACAGTATATAAGATGTTGATTATTAGGGGGAGTTAGGTGATAAGTACTCTTGTACTATCTTGGCAACTTATCTGTAAATCTAAACTTATTTCAATAAAAAATTTATTTATTCATTAAAGTCCAGTAGCTGTTGTAAGGATACTAGAGGAGATGGTGCTGGTAGTGGAAAGGTCCCAAGCCCAGTGATGTGAGGGGGTGAGGAGACAGGAAGCACCAGCAAAGCCATTGGCAGCAGGACAGAGGACTGCAGGCAGTGTCAATACAGCCTTTCAGAGTAGTGCAAGATGCCTATGTATAAGATGGCACATATAAAACAAAGAATTTAAGAGAAAATATGAAAAACACTTCAAACATGTTTTTCCCTCATTTTCACTTGATTATAGTGAATAGTGTCTGGCCTGTTCTTCTCCAGCAGCCCATGCTCATATTACCCAGAATATGAGCAGAGCTGAGGGACACAGCACCAAAGCCCCAGGCCCTACAGCTACTACTTCAATTTCATGTCCTTCCCTGCCAGAGTTCTGTGTAACCATTTCTTCTTCTCATACAGGAAAAATATCCAGATGTTGTGCAACTCCCTGAAGGCACCGCCTCTAGCTGCATGGGAATCCAGAGCCCCAGCTGGCCTGGGTAAGTCCATGGCAGGCAGGCTGGGCAATCATGGCGGCCCACCACACCAGGACTCAGTGACCCAGAATAACAGCGGCTCCTGACTGAACTTGGGCATCTGTTGGAAAACAGTTGCCTCCATTTTCTCTGACTCTCTCCTCTGGCTCCCATGCTGGCCACTGCTCCACTCAAAATGCAGGCTATGTCAGGATCCAGTTACTGAGGCTTCCAGGCTCTCCTGCTCTGGGTGGTGGTAGGCATCTCCTCTCTTCCCCTAGCAGAGACAGATAAGGGGCATGCATATAGTTTGATCTCTTAATCATATTTCAAAATGCTCTTTAAAATGTATTTTACCTCTTACAGATTTGAATTAGTAATCGTTTGGAGGATACAAATAGATGATGAAGGGAAGGTTTTGCCAAAGCTGGATCTTTTAACCAAAATCCCACTGGAAGGTAATCTGAAATTGTACATAAGACACTTTGTTTAGATGGTTTTAGCTAATTTCTGAATATGCTAGATAAAGCCTCCTACTTCTTTCATCTAGTTTTACATAGCAAGAATCAAAAGATGAAAATAATACAATTTTTACGTATTTTTAAAATATCTTTATCATCAATTAAAAAAAAATATATATATATATTTTATCAATAATCATGCAAAAATCATGAGAAAGGGGTTTACCCCTCAAATGCCTTCTTAGGCTGAATGTATGAAGGGAATATTCTATCATCTTTGCTTCCTCTTTCTTACCCCTGACCCCACCCCCCTCCTCAGAGCTTCTCATTCCAAGTGGCTAGGCAGGGAAAATGTTGACTCAAGTTTGGTGAAGGCTTTTGGTGAGGCTCAATACCAGGAGTGAAAATACAAAGCTAGAAGCCGGTCACTATGAAGTTTCTTACCTGGTTTATGTTTTCTTTCTAGCCCTGGAGCTGGATAAGAAGAAAATCATAGAAAGTGCTCCACTCAGCTTCCAGACCCTGCTACGAGTGGTTGGAATTGAAGCTTCTCTAGAAACCCTGATAAAATTATTTTTCAACACAAAAGAATGACTAGCTCACAAACACTAAACACTTACGAAGTAAGATTCTGCACTCAGTAGTTTATAATTTTATTGAATATAAACATTTGCTATCTTCTACTTAGAAATCATACCCTTAAAACATGCTATCTAGGCAATATGGCACATTATACACACACACACACACACACACACACACAGTCTAAAAGGTTTCTTGTATAGATACACATATATGTAGTCATGTGAAAAATAAATACAGCTATTTAAATACAAAATGCCAAATACAAGTAACGTGTAGTATTTTAAAAAATAAGCTTAACATTTGAATCAGTGTACCAACAGGACTGTACATCCTTACATATGCCTGGAGAGAATTTTGCAGTATTTTGCATGAGTCTGGGAGCTATGGTGGCAGTGCCAGAATCCTGGGTGGGGTTCTTGCAGGCAACATACTCTGCTTCCTGAGGGGAAACACTGGCCATTTCAGGCCTTGGGTTGTACCAGAGATCCTGGGCTATACTCTCACCTCCACTCTTCTTCAGTTGGAAAGTGGCAGTTGGGGCATTCACAGCATCCCTCAGCATATCCCCTGACATTCACTTTTCTTGGTCTTCACACGAAGTGGGACTGCTAGCTTTAAAAGAACACAGTGAGACTGCCTGTTCCTTCTCCAGCTGCTTCACCACTCGGACGACCTGCTCCCATTTCACAGGGCCTAGTGCTGCTACTGCCTGACAGCTCTGAAAGTGCTATAATAATCTATGACTGCAGTAAGCATCTCCACTTTTTCCATTTGCAGTGTTGTTGTTGTTGTTGTTGTTGTTGTTATGTGCCGTCGAGTCGGCCCCGACTCATAGTGACCCCTCCTTGGGTTCCCGAGGCAGTATCACTACGGAAGTAGGATTGCCCAACCTTCCTTCCGAGGAGTGGCTGGTGGGTTTGAACCGCCAGCCTTCTGGTTAGCAGTCAAGTGCTTTAGCCACTATGCTACCAGAGCTCCCTTGCAATGTTGTTAGAACCAATAAAAATGTACATTTTTATTGGTTCTTGCAATGTTGTTAGAACCAATAAAAATGTACTGTTTCAAACTCAAGAATATCAGAGACAGGAAAGGAGCCCTCAAGCTAGAGTCTGAGCTGTGCTACTACCTGCAGAAACAGGCAAAGCCTGGACCACCCCTGGCAGGACATGAGCCAGCCTCCCTCCACCCTCACCCCTAAGACATAAGTGCACATCTGTTGTGGGCAAGGCTTCCATCCCAGAAAGGCTATGGGCCCAGACACAGCAAATGGCCGGGCAGCAGGGGACAAGGCACCCTTTGAAGGGGTCAAATTTTATCTAGTTTCTCTTTTTCCCCAAAAGAGAGGGGATATGTTTTAATACTGTTCAGTCCTGCTAGGAAGTGAGCCTGCATGAGGCAGTTACTTGCACAGGTGACAGGATGACATCCCAAGCTCTGGTCAGAGGCTCCTGGGAGGGCATGGGAACAGCCCACCCAAGCCCAAGGGCACACCATGCTACCACTGCACAGGTTCTTTCTGTACAACCCATGGCAGCTAGGTTATCCCTTGGCCCTAGCCAATATCATGGACAACCTCAGGTGAAAAAATTATAAATGAAACATGCAGAAATCTGCAGCCATTTTCCTCCATGTTTTAGTCTGGGTTCTCTAAGAGGAGCAAAACCAGTGAAACATATATTTAAATACATATATAGAGAGAGATTTACTACAAGGAAATGGCTCACACAACTGTGGAGGCTAGAAGGTCCCAAATCTATGGGTCAGGCAGCAGGCTGGAGATCTCTGCTGGCTCATGGGTTGCAGGGGCTGACAAACCCCAAATCTGCAGGTAGGTCAGGTAACAAGCTGGAGACATCTGTTTGCTCAAGTAATTGTAGTGGTTGGTGAATCCAAAATGTGCAGATCAGGCAGCAGACATATATCCCAAGAATCAGAGGCCATGTGACAAGAACTGTGCAAGGTTGAGAGAGAGAGTATGTAAGCTTTGGCTGAACATCTATTTATGTACTAGAGACAGGCCACACCCCTAAGAAACTCCTCTTTCAACTGATTGGCTGATCACATCAGATCACATCATTGAAGGTGATTACATTGTATTACATACAGTCCAGTGTCTGCCAAACCACTTAGAATTACCAAGCTGACATAACATTAACCATCACACTCCATTATCTCCAGAGCTTTGAGTCACCCTTCCCATGACTTCAGCACAGACCTTCTCCAATCACCAGGCCTGACTCCCTTACGGGACAGTGCACTAGATTCGTATGTCATGTGAGGCTGGAGGAAGAGAACAGTGAAACATCTATTTCTGAGAGTAGGATGAAGAAAAAAGTAAATATTAGGATAGAATAGCACAACAAATTCTAGAAGAACTGGCTTAGTTCAAACAAGTATAATTCTCAAGTTATCACAAAATTGCCCACAAAAATTTACAATCAGCAAAATATTTTCCATGTAGCATTTTCATACATTTCTGTGGTTTTACTAATATAGTATTTTGTTACAAGAAGCCTTCATTAGTCCCTCAAAATGATGATATAATCAGTTTGTACAACCTACCATAGAAAAAAACTGATTCCAAGACCCCAACAGAGTTTCATAGCAGCTGAGCACACACTGGTGACTATAAACAGGGCTGCTGGGTGCCGCCAAGGGAACTCACCTTCCCACCAGCCCAGCATGGAGAGAGGCCCACAACAAAACCAGAGGGAGGAAAGGAAACACATCAGAATGCTCAGAAAAGACAATTATGTCAGGAGCCCGCACCCTTGGACACTTGCCTAACCTGCCCAGCCGGCTCACCAGTCCCCAGCAGCTCCAGCCAATTACATCTCTGCTTCCACCTTCTACAGCAGCAATTTCAGGTGGGAAAGAATATACCATTGCTCTCCCTAATGTTCAGCCAAAAAAAAGTAAATGCCCAATGGAGTGGTATCCCTCAATGAGAGTCCTTGCATTCTCTGTTGGTCCAAGCAGTCACCACATGGGCTCCCACCTCACTTCCACAGGGACCCTGAGTCTGAGCCACTCACACTGCAGCAGCCCCATCAGACACAACTCATACTCTGCAGCAGTGGATGGCTCGCACTTAAGAAACAACCATGTGGCTTGGCTGAGAAGTTCCAGTAGTATCCATGTGTTTTTAAACATCCAGAAAGTATAAGATGTATGTGATGACTCAAGTTTTCTATGTTAGGAGTATAGTGGTAGGAGACCCAAGGTTTGGGTCTCAATAATAAGGCTTTTTGCATTAAAGAATTAGATGTGAGCCCTGGTTGAGAATGAAAAATAACCCAGAATGTCTTCACAGGGCTTTTTGCAGAAACTTCTGTTTTAAAAATATAAAAGGCCTTCCTGGAAAACAGCATACTGCTGGGCTCAGGTCAATACATTCCTTCTGGAAGACTTTTCTAGTGCTATTCAATTCTGTGTCTATAAGAAGCAGCCACACTTCAACAAAGGTCAAAGCAAAAACATTCACAGCCAAAAGTCATCCAACACAACAGAAAATAGCTCTATCATTAGCCTTCACATTCTATGTTTGAGTTCCAAAGACACTGCATGAGAAATTTAGACTTTGTGGAGAAGAAGTGTGCAATCCTCAATTTCCTTGAATCTGGGTGGTGTGGCAGCTGCAGTATCCATGGCACGCATAGCCTTTGAGTAGTAGCTGACGATCTTGCCATCCAATGTATACTGGTGAGGAATACTCTCGTAGGGCTTGAGGTCAAGGTCCAGCACAGACACTGAGAAGGCAAGGCGGGATTTCGACGAAGGGACGATAGGTCTTTGACCAGGGCTGGAAATATAAAATGCAATGTTGAGACTACACACACCCTCCATGTCATGAGCACCAGCTCACAGAAGCAGCCATGCTGGGCATAGCACTGTGTCAGCTGGTGGTGGGCATATGTGCAGGAGAGCTTCACCAGCACCCACTGCAACAGACCTGGATTCGACAAAAAGAGAGGATTAATGGACTGACAAAGGTAGGAAAGCAGTTATGTAGGATATGTATTTGATATTCTCCATGTTCCAGTGGTATAATTGAACATTGAGCCAGTTGCTTTACCATGAGCCAAGTATACAGAGCAAAGAACAAGGAAAATATAGGTCTGGCTATACAACTGCCTGAGATAGACAAAATAGCCTAAAAACAGACATCTCTTTATGTGTCTTTTCCATGTCTGGAAAGAAACTTTAGTTTCCTTCATGCTTTTCACATGTGAAGAAAGAAATCTGGTTTTATATTTTATTTCTCAAATCTACAATGCTTTATATTTTGTTTCTTAAGACATGTTTATGTGTGTGTATTCAGAATACTCATTTACTTATAACAAAATACTAACAATTACTTTTGCTTAAAAATACATTGAATACTCTGAATCTTTAAGCTTGCTCTCCTCTCCTAGTGCCTTGCACAAAGTAAGTGTTCAAATGAGTGCCTAAATAGAAACTTAGGTTAACCCATAAGAAGTATTCCAGTATCACAGCTTCTCTATACTCACTACTCTTAGATTTAGCAACCATCATTAAAAAACAAAACAAAACAAAAACCCACCAATTTTGAAAGGTTCTGCCTAGGTGTGGGAAGGGGATCACTAAATTTTCATGGTCATGACACTAATCAAAGGCTCAGAAATTCAGTGTAAATAGCAAACTCCTGCTCCAGAATCCTATTTATAGAGAAAACAAAATCACTGGTTTAGTTACTCTCTCCCAAAGAGCTGTTGTTGTTGTTATGTGCTGTCGAGTCGGACCCAACTCATAGCGACCCCTCCTTGGGTTGCTGAGGCAGTATCACTACAGAAGTAGATTGCCCCATCTTCCTTCCAAGGAGTGGTTGGTGAATAATAAAACCCAACCAAACCTACTTCCCATTCCAACTCATAGTGACCCTATAAGACAGAGTAGAACTGCCCTGAAGGGTTTCCAAGGTTGTAAATCTTTACAGAAGTAGAAGGCCTCATCCTTCTTCTGCAGAATAGCTGGTGGGTTTGAACCACCAACATTTTGATTAGCAGCCCAATACTTTGATCACCTCACCACCAGAGCTACTAGAGAATAATAGTGCATTTATAAATGGAGGAGTTGTATTTTCAAAGCTATCAGGGCCCTGGGCTCATATCCACCAGCTCTGTCTGTAAACACAGAACTCTGCCTGCTGGGTCATGCCCAGAGACCTGCGGTTCCATGCAGTCAACCATGCATGTCACCAGCATTCTACAGCATTGAGGTTTTTAAAGGCCCCACAATTTCTTATGAAAAAACCAACACCTAATAATATGACACTGATACAGACAGGGAGCATGTGTTTAAGAAACAATCCATCTTTCCTGGTAGCAACTGCAGGGAAATCTACTGTCTGGGTGACCGCAAACTCCATGGGAACCAGAGCCCCAGACAGCAGCATGCATCTCTGGCAGTGACAAATGCCTTCCTGGACTCATCCACCCAGGCTCGAAGGCCTAGAGGGATACTAGGGGTCTGGGGTTGCCTCTCTCTTGCCAGCCCAGGTGCTAGAGGGGGCTATGTCTCTATCCATCTCCTCTGAAACTGCCCAAGTAGGAGGGCAACTAGGAGACAAAGCCACCTGGGAATACCAGCTTCAAGGAAGGCTGAGAGACCAAGACTAGCAGCTGGCTGCCTCAGCTGTGTTTGGAAGAGGAAGTCAAGAGGAGCAGCAGGAGTCAAAGCAACAAAGGACACCCCAGCCACTTGTGCCAAAGTTTTATTTCCAAATGGCAGACGTGTTCTGCCAGTGATAGAAGGGGAAATGCAGCTAAGGACAAAACTTGCTTTTTTAAAAACAGCAGAAAGAGCAAAGCAGAGTGGAGACACCTGTTTCAGATGGTGTGATGAGTATAACTGTTAGTGAACTCCAAATGAATATTGTGGGTATAATTTAGTCTCAGGTTTAGTGTTTGACACTGGTCAGTCTCTGCTTTTGCTGTAATGGGGGACAATCTCTTTTTTTGTAAAGAGATTTACAATCATGTAACTTTAACATGGGTAAGAAGCACAGTAGTTTCTCAGCACCCTCGGATCACACTGAGAAGAAAGCCCAGACCAGGCTGCCTACCGGCCACTCCATTGGGCAAGGATAGCAGCAGTAATGCCTTCCCTCAAAGGATCCTTTTCTGGGCATCCTGCTCTCAATGGTGTCACAGGATCCTGTGGCTGCACACAGTCCTCGAGGAAGTAGGCTCACCTGGAGAAGGGCCATCAGAAGCCCAACAGCCTCTGGCTGTCTCTGCTCTCACCCCAGCATGTCCTCTCATACCACCTCCACACCACATCCTCTGGAGACATCTGTGGGCAGCAAGGGGACTGTCTGGGGAAGGAGTTCTGTTCTCTCCACCACCCCCTACAAGATACCACCTATCTCTAGGTAGAAGGCCATTCCTTCACTCTCTCTGTCTCCCTTAGCACCTGGCCCAGGTCAGGCTTTGTATGATATGGTCTCTGAGGTGCCCTGGGTCACAGCCACCAGTCTGTGCTTATACATGGGCACCTGAGCACCCAGCCATCACCCATGCAGCAGAAGGGCTTTCTAATGGCAGATTTTATCCCATTCTGTCCTTAGAGTCCTTTGCAAAATATGGTCCCTCTTTAACTTGGTCATAGGATCCAAAGTTTCTGTATTCTTAAATTCCCCAAAATCTAACATACATGTCTGACTGGCAAAAATTTTCTAATGTAAAGCTTTTATATTCACATTTTAAAACAATTTTAGTATTTCAAGATTAAAACAAACTTAAATCAATGTCTACAGACTGGAAATGCTTTGTATCACACCATCTTTTCTCTGTGTACCCTAGTGCTCCCTGCTGACAGAGCAGCTTGGTGCATTTCTCATTTATCTTGCTGAAGTCATTAAGTATGCTTCTAATGACTTGGGAAAGTTCTAATGGTAAAGTGTTAAGTGGCAAAAACATGATACAAAATTATAAATAAGTAAATAGTGTAACATAATTTAACCATTTCCTTCTTTTTGGACATTTAGATTGTTTTCAAAATTTTTCAAATCAAAATAGTGCTTCAAGGAACCACTCCTGCAGCATCAGACCTTCCAATGATACCAGGACATGATTCCCAGAGGTGGAGTCACTGGGACACAGTCTGAAAGTCAACACTCAGCTGGGTGTACCTTGGAACTCATCTTTTTTACACTGCTGGTGGGATAGGGTGTGTTTTATTTTGTTTTTTAATCTTTCCCAACTTGGTAAAAGCAAAAGAAGTCTGTCATGCCCACAAGGTCACCTGGGCCTTCATATGCCCTGGTCCATCATGTCTGTCCCTGGTTCTGACACCTGCAGGCCACTGGCCATTCTCCTTCATCTTTTCAGAATAAACTCAGGCACTCTCACTTTGTTTCTGTCAAGGAGCAGTCAGATGGAGTGCTCTAGGAGTCACACTTCTGTGCTCCCACCCACAGTCAAAGTCCCCAGCAGCCAAAAACCTTTTTGACTCACACTCCCTGCTCTTCTCCCCTATTTTGGTTCCTGTTGGATGGATGGCTAGGATGCAGTGAAGACTGGAGCCCTGAGCTAAGGATGTCAAGACTGCAGACATCTGAGTATTGACATGACCCACTCAGAGCTCTTTTAGATCCCACCTCCTAGGCTCTGTCTGACCTTTACTGCAACTTTATCTGAGCTCCCTTTCCTAACTATGTCTGATTCAGGAAGGGTGGTAGAAACAAATGTCTTAGAAGTTATCTCCCATCTAACAACACTAACTCAATCCAGCTGAACAACTAATCATAACTAAGTATGGAGATCTACAAAGGTTATGACAGAAGTTTTCAACTAAAGAGAACACCCTTTTTCACATTTTAGTTCTACCCTTTAAGTGTTTCTCAGTATTTCATATAAGAAAGTGGCCAATTCTGGGCCTACCAAGGGATCAGAATTTCCTGGGGATTGCTGAGTTCAAAAGCATTAGGAAAGCAGATGGCCAGTAACCAGCAACAGAGGTCATCTTGACCCAAGACAATATGTAAGATGAGTCACTAGGAAGAATGCAAAATATTTAATAAATACTTTGGTTGGAATTTTGCACCACTAGGTCTCTGGGTGGTACAGTTAGTGCACGTGATTGCTGCTAACTGAAAGGCTAGAGGTTTAAGTCCACCCAAAGGTGCCTTGGAAGAAAAGCCTGGTGATCAGCTTCCAAAAAATCAGCCACTGAAAACTGAATTGGAGCATAGTTCTACTCCGACACATGTTGGGTTGCCATCGACTCATTGGCAACTGGTTGGCTGAAGTTCAGAAAATAATTTAAACAAGATCAATGCTGAAGATGCCATTTAATTACCATTAGAATGGGCTCATCCTTAATTCCAAAAAAGGGGGAGGGGACTAGACAACAATGATAATGTTCAGGCTAATGACAAGGAAGAACTGCTGCAGACACCATCCCCCTCTGGAGAAGAGAAAGCAGAAAAATCTCAGAATGACTGAGATTATGTAAGTATCAAAAAGGCAATGGTTTTTGGACAGCATTACAAGTTAACAGAGCATCTGCCACCTCGGATATTAACCTCTGGGCATACACATGCCTTCAGAGGGCCCCTCCCAAGCCCCATGACCCTGCTGCCATTCTCACCTTTCATCCTGCAAACATGGGGAGAGGGCAATCATGATAGAGCAGTCCTTGGCGGTCATGGCAACACGGTATTGCTGTACCTGCAGAGAAGGAAGAGGTCAGCTGTGTGCTGCACACTCCAATGTAACCAATGTGGGACCCCACAAAATGTCATCTCCAGCCTTCACACTGGTCAAGGCTGAGAACTGGTTTCTTTTACAGAACCCAGGGAAGGGGAAGTTATGGGTACAGTGAACAACGACCAGGGAAGTTCCTGGGCAAGAGGGGCTAAAAAAGTTCCCTCACATAGTCTACCCTAAGAGCACTCTAACCAGCACAGCTCCAGAAGGCTCCCTGCAAAGATCAGTCCACACTTTGACCTCTTCCCTGCAAGAAGCATGTGGATTTCCAATCCCAAACCAGAGTCTGCTTTTAGAGAAAAATCACAGCTTCTCCTTAGATGTGATAAAGACATGCCAGTCAGCCATTTGGCATGCTGGCCACACCAACAGCACTGAACAAGTGTTACTCCACAAGGAGGTTCAGCAAGGAACTGCTCAAACAATGAGATGTCACAGACAACCTCAATGTCCATCAGAAAAAGCCTCTTCAGTATATTAGGTCACACCTACATGCAGCATATTATAAAATTCTACCATTCCTTGTGCTGTGCATGTATTAACTCATTCACTCCTCAGGCAACCCAATGAAGCAGGCACCAAGCACTGTTATCACTCTCACTTTATAAACAAGGAGACCAAAATAGAAAACAACTTGCCCAGTGCCCACTGCTGGAGGGAGTAAGACTGGGACCCATATTCCAGCAGTCTGGCTCTGAAGCCAGGCCCTACACACCAAGCTCCTAGCCCTTGTGGCCTCTGCTTACATTAGGCTGTGCAAGGACAGCCACCTTGTGGTATCTCTTGGGACCAGCACTAGGAGTACTTCCCCCTTTTTTCTTGGGACTTTCATGTGTCATTTTAATTTTCTTTAGGTTGAACAGTTTTCACTTTTACAAAAATAAACTAGTTACAAAAAAAATGGAATCAGGCTTTAAATGTTTATCACTGACCTCAACATTTGTACTGATGAAAGGTCCTAACATCTTACTTCCCTTTTATCCATTCACCCAAACTCAAAACTTTCAACAATGCAGGATACTACAGGAAGAAGTGGGGAGAACCCAAACTGGGTTTTTTTTTAGGGCCACTGACTGGTTCTACCTGGTTTTTTGGGTCCGGAATAACCTTTTACAACAGGAAGAAATCAGAAAGTCCTATGTTTACACTCTTCATTTATGTAAGAAATCAGTTATTTCACATAATACACACAAAAATACAGTCTAAAAGGTTTCTTGTAAATATAAAAATGACATGTATTTAAATATGAAAAACAAAGTATAGAAGAATATTTATTATATCCTTAACATATGATAGGCCTTTGTAAGCAAGACACAAAATCCAAAAGCCATAAAAGAATTTGAATACCTAAAAATGAAAACACTCATACATGATACAGTTAAAATTCAAATGTGTTATGGAAAGAGTCTGTGACCAGCATGATGACATTGGGGAAAGGAAGGACACTGAAATGTGCATATAAGATACAGACAAATACTAGTACATGCACTATACTGTATTACCACTAACATCAAACACCAGGCTATGGATAAATGCATAGACAGGTGAGAAGATCAGGTGGGTGTAGGCAAACAGGAATGTACCCTAGACCAAAGATAGATTTGGCTGAAAGATAATCTCACATATGTACTTGTGATACAAAATTAGCCACATACATTACAGAAGCAACAAAAGACAGAGTTAGAAGAAAGTATGAAAATAAAAAAAATAAAATTCAGAAGTGAAAGAGTACAAGAAAATATTTGCAACATGTAATAGGATCAATATCAAGAATCTGTAAAGTGCTAAAGATCACATTCAAAAAGAAAAACTACCCAAAAAAGAACTGGATCAACAGGCATAACATAATCCACAAACACAATGTTTTATATCCTACTCTGATGAGTAGCAACTGGGGTCTTAAAAGCTTGTGAGCAGCCATCTAAAATACAACTATTGGTCTCTCCCCATCCAGAGCAGAGAAGAGTGAAGAAAATAAAAAACCAAGGAAATAATTAGTCCAAAGGACTAATGGACCACATGAACCCCAGCCTCCACGACCCTCAGACCAGAACTAGATGGTGCCTGGCTACCACTGCTGACTGCTCTGAAAGAATCACAATAGGAGGTCTTGGATAGGGTAGGAGAAAAATGTGGAACAAAACTGAAAATCATAAAAAAGACCAGGCTTACTGTTTTGATAGAGAATAGTGGAATTCCTGAGACTATGGCCCTTAGACACCTTTCAAGCCTAGAATTGAACTCACTCCCATGGCTCAACTTCTGGCCAAATCCACTGCTCGTGAATTGATCCTGACTCAAGGTGACTTTATAGGACAGAGTAGAACAGCACTATAGGGTTTCCAAAGCTGTAAATCTTTATGGAAGCAGACTGGCTCATCTAGGGGTTCAAACCAATGAATGTCTTAACCACTGCACCACCAGAGCTCCTTCAGACAGGCCTTTAAGATGAGCAATAATACTAGGTAGGTACAACCCATCAGAGAGCACAACAGGCTGCTGAACAATGACTCGGCTACATGCAGGGTTGAAGCATGCCATAAAACTAGAGACCATTTCCAAAGCTGCTTCATACATGTGTATGTGTGTGTGTATGTGTGTGTGTATACCAACTACATGAGAGCAAAGGGCAGCATTTGTCCAGGGATAAAGGTAAGAAGGCAGGAAGGAAAAGGAAAGAAGGAAAAAGGGAAAGGGTAAAATAGGGAGGAACCAATTTGTTCTGCAAACTTTTATCCAAATCACAATTAAAAAATTGTATTATAAATAAACAATATTTATTCATCTTAAAAACTAGGCTAAACTGACAAAAAATACTCAAAAGTATATAACTATACTCACAAATATATTGTTGTACACATACTCATTATTCACACAATGTTAAAGAATAATGGGAAATCTTTGAAACATCTCATAACATGGAAAGCAGCTATGCTCGACACTGTAACACCAACACAAAACAACTTATAAAACAGGCAAACCTGGAGGGCATTATGCTGGGTGAAATAAGTCAATCATAAAAGGATAAATATTGCATGAGACCACTATTAGAAAAACCCAAGAAAAAAGTTTATGCACAGAAAGAAACATTCTTTGATGGTTACCAAAGATAGGAGGGGAAAGGAGGGTAAATCACTAACTAGAGAGTAGACATATATTAACAGAGGTGATGGGAAAGGCAATATACAGTAAAGGGGAGGGTGGCATAACATAACCATGGTAAAGGAATCCACTGGGAGATGCACAAGAGTAAAAGACAGCAAAGGTAAATACAGTTTTATACATAATCCTACAATAATGGTAATAATAAACAATATCTATGAGTAGATAGAGGGGCTCTGGTAGCATAGTGGCTAAAGCACTTGACTGCTAACCAGAAGGCTGGCGGTTCAAACCCACCAGCCACTCCTCGGAAGGAAGGTTGGGCAATCCTACTTCCATAGTGATACTGCCTCGGAAACCCAAGGAGGGGTCGCTATGAGTCGGGGCCAACTCGATGGCACATAACAACAACAACAACAACAACATGAGTAGATATATACGTAAACATGCAAGATGAACAGGTGTCAGAAGGCAAATGGAAGTACACACATGAATAAATACAGATTTGGCAGAGGATATTTCTACATATGTATCTGTAATATGCTGTAAATATATCCAAGGACACTGCAGAGTTACAGGGGGCAAAGTTCTGAAAACTTCTTAGCCATAATGAAACATTTTGAAGAAATGATTCATTGAGACTGGAGCCTTAGGGACCACAGTCTCAGGGGACATCTAGGTCAACTGGCATAACTCAGTCCACAAAGACAATATTCCTCTACACTCTACTTTGGTGAGTAGCAACTGGGGTTTTGAAAGCCTGTGAATAGCCATCTGAGATGCAACTATTGGTCTCTCCTTGTTCAGAGCAAAGAATAGTGAAGAAAATCAAAGACTCAAGGAAACAAGTTTGTACTTGTTTGTACTAATGAACCACATGAACCACAACATGTACTACCTAGAAATTAGAAGAACTAGAGAGTACTCTGTTACCACCACCTAGCACTCTGCTCAGGATCTTAATAGAAGGTACTGGACAGAAAGTGAGGGGGGAAGAAAAAGGTAGAACAAAATACAAAAACATAAAGACTAGACTTATGGTCTGACAGAGACTAATGAAACCCCCAAGACTGAGGCTCTTAGACACACTTGAAGCTTGGAACCGAACCCACCTCCAGGGATCAACTTTTAGCCAAACAGGCCTAGAAAGTGAGTAATAACACCAGGGAGGAATGTATTCCTCAGTAAAATTAACCACACGAGACCAAAAGGGTCCAAAAACAAAGCTCAGAAGGCAGGAAGAAGCAGGAAAGAAGGACAAACAGAAATGGGGAAACAACAGAGGAAGTGGGAAGAGTGCTACAATGTTGAAGAGATTGCAGCCAATGCCATGAAACAAATGTGTATAAATTCTTGAATGGAAAACTAATTTGCTCTGTGTGGTAGTTAAGTCTGTTGTCAACTTGGCTGGGCCTGGTTGAGTGACTGGGCAGCTGGTGGTAGTTATTCCTCATGATGAGACTGGCAATCAACTCCATGATGGGATCTACCACAAGCAGCTGAGTAGCTGCTTTAGTGATGTGGTCTGCTTCCCATATATAAGCAGCAGCTTTGGGAATGGTTTCTAGTTTTATGGCACACTTGAACCCTGCATTTAACTGAATCATTGTTCAGCAGCCTGCCACGCTCTGCCAATCTTGGGACTTTCAATGGACTTGAATCAATGGCCTGCTGTGTTATTTGGTAACATTGGGACTGTGCCTTTTCACTTGTCAACCTTGGGTTTGTCAGCCTCAGCAGCCAACAGCTGTCTGAGTGAAGGAAAGCCTACAGCTATAGTGAGCCAGGAGAAACAGGCAGAGCTGAAGCCCAAGGTTGAGGGCTTTCACCCAGCCCCTAGAACCTGGCAATTTGAACTC